TACAGCAAGAGACACTTCTGCCTCTACTGTTCAATGTCCTGCCACAAAATGTCCCGTCATTTGACTAGAAAACATGGAAATGAAAGTGACGTAGCCAGAGCATTGGCTCTACCTGTGAAATCTAAAGCACGTAAACTTCAGTTTGATTTGATCAGGAATAGTGGAAACCGTGAGCACAATTTTGAGGTTTTAAAGGCCGGCATTGGAACTTTAGTCCCAGCTAAACAGCCAAATTGCCCAGTTAAATCCAGTGAGTTTTTGCACTGTATAGACTGTGGGGCATTGCTTAAGCGAAAGTCGCTGTGGAGGCATGTGGCCAGGTGCCGGCTTTCACAGAAAGATGCCCAGGCTAAACCAGGCTAAACCAGGCTAAACCAGGCTAAACCAGGTAGAAGTAGGGTCCAGTCCTTCTGCTCCCTAGCCCAGCCTGTACCGGAGGGCATCAGCAAAAAGCTGTGGTCTTTAATTTGGGCAATGCATCAGGATGAGGTCACGGGTGTTGTCAAAGCAGAAAAGGGGATTCTGAGACTCGGAGAGCACCTGTACTTAAAACACGGGCATGATAAGACTAAGCATGATTACATTAGGCAGAAAATGAGAGAAGTCGGTAGGTTAATTAACGAAGCAAAAACTGCAGGGAAACTGAAAACAATGAAGGATTTCTTTATTCCTTCCAACTTTAACCATGTGATTGATGCAGTCAGGTCTGTGGCTGGATATGATGAGGAAACAAATCAATACAAGACTCCATCCTTGGCCCTCAAACTCGGCCATAGCCTCAGAAAGCTAGCAGATATTCTTGAATGTGACTCAAAAATGGAGCATTGTGTTGATGAACTATTTATTAAAAACCTCCAACGAAGCCGGCTGCTTTTTGAGAAGAGGTGGGACGTCTGTGTTTCTTCTGCTGCCCTACAGACCATCCGGCAAGCCAAGTGGAACACTCCGGACCTGCTCCCTCTGACTGAGGACGTTAGAGCCATGCATGCACATATTGAGGTATGTCGACCTGAATATGTGCAAACCCTAATAAGTGAGCCAACGTCTAAGCATTGGTCTAAACTGGCAGTTTTGACTCTTTGTGAGGTCATTATTTTCAATCGAAGAAGGGAAGGTGAGGTTTCAAAGATGCCACTGACAGCCTTTACCTTAAGAAGTAAGACTGGGATCCATTCTGACATTGCTCTGGGACTGTCCCAACTTGAGAAAAAGCTGTGTCAGCATTTTCAACGCATTGAAATTAGGGATGTAAAAAACTATGAATTTTCATGACCGACCACCGAGCCTCATTAACCGGTTGAAACCGGTTAACCGCGTAGTTTAAAATAGTCCACGTTCTTTGAAATAACAGCCATTTCGAGCCGCGTACTTTTCATAAGTGCAGCTCTGCGTTCTACTGGATCAGAGCCGAGACAGCGGCGCCCAAACCCGCAACAGCTCCGGCACCTTTGCGCACAGAGAACTGCTTTTTTAATCTTCCCATTCTGCTGTGCTGCGGGTTAATACCAAAACTTTCTAGCAGCAAACGACGGCTCGTCCACATGGTCAGAGCAGCGAGTGACGAGCCGTGTCTCACAGGTCTTCACAAAAGTTTAAATACAAGTGATGTGTGTGGAGCTGATCCCGAGGACCATAAACACAAACATGTTCCATGTGGTTTGACTGGAGCCGCGTATTTGCGCGAATCCTTTGGGCTCCGTGACACAGAGGAGCGCGACAGACCGGTGTGTGTGTATGTGTGTGTGTATGTATATGTGTGTGTGTGTAAATGTAAGCTCCAATGTAGTTCTGACCCGCGCCAGTGTGCAACTTTGACGGTAACAGAGGGGAGAGATGATGCGTGTGGATGTTACGTATGGAGAGGGGGAAAGTGTGTGTGTGTGTGTGTGTGTTTGTGTGTGTGTGTGTGTGTGCGTGTGTGCATATGTGGCTCGTGCGGCGTGAGAGTCGTCCCGGAGTTTATAATACATGGGCGCACACAGATAGATATGGACCCGCTCGTCACACCGTGCAAATAGGGCTTAAAATAGCGTTATTAAGAGACCTCCCCTCTCCCCTTTTTCTCTTTTCTTAACCGACAGCTTTGACCGGTTAACGCTGTGACGGTCAACCACCGGTTAAACGGTCGCCGATTTACATCCTTAATTGAAATTAAAGGGAAAAGAAGTGGGAAAGTGGTGGTTCTTTTGACTCCTGAAATGATTGCTTCGATGGAGGTGCTGGTGGAGAACAGAAGGGCCTGTTCCATCTCTGACCATAACCCATACTTCTTTTCCCGCCCGGGCGCAGACACCCACATCAGGGGATCAGACTCCCTACGCCAGGTAGCCAAAGAATGTGGTGCGGTGCATCCAGAGATGCTATCCTCAACCAAACTTAGAAAGCACATAGCTACTATGTCTACAGTTCTCAATATGAAAGAGAATGAAATGGACATACTTGCCAACTTCCTCGGCCATGACATTCTCATCCACAGGCAATATTACAGACTACCAGAGGGGACACTGGAGCTGGCCAAAATCAGCAAAGTGTTGATGGCCATGGAGCAGAGAAGAGTGACGGAATTCGAAGGAAAGAGCCTCGACCAGATACAAATTGAGCCTGAAGGTAATTCTTGATATTATTAAAATATGTATGATTTTTTTCCCCTAAAGGCCACTTGTATTTTTATTTTCTGTGCGACAGGGAGAGCAGTAGAGATCCTCTCACAAACGGACGGGCTAAAAGAAACTTCAAGCGGAGAACCTTCAACCATTCATCCAGATGCACCCCATGGTAGTGGCAGTGCCCCTTCTGGTAAGTGTACCAGGTGGGGGATTACAGCCAGGCTGCTTGGTCCTAACCCTGGGAGTGTATATTGCTAATATATTTTTATTTCTCTCCCTAGAACGTTAGAGAAAGCCATGGTCTGCATCTGAGGTGAAGGCTGTGGAGAAGACCATGACACCTTTCATACAGACTGGAAAGGTCCCTGGGAAGTCTCACTGCCTGGCCTGCATTAATGCCTCACCAGATGACCTTAGACATCGGACATGGAGTGGCATTAAATTCTATGTCAAAAATAGAATCACTGCAATTCGAAAAAAAAATCTAAAATAAAATTCCTTTAAAAGAGTTGTTTGTTTTCTATTGACTGTTTTGTATTACTTAAAGTAGTCCCAGTAAAAAAAAGATTATGTCTATGGGTCCCATTCTGAACGGCCCTGTCAAAGGGACCCACCAGGTAACAAAAACGTGTATGTGTGAGTGTGTGTGTGTGAGTGTGCGTGTGCGTGTTTGTGTGTGTGTGTGTGTGTGTGTGTGTGTGTGTGTGTGCGTGCTCACAGTAGCTCTGCCTCAGAGAAGGACGGCTGCAGAGACTCCACAGGAAACAGAGACTCAAAGGAGACTCCCATGTTCAGGAACACAAGGGCCACGTCTGCTACAGAAGGAACCCACACACGGACCCTGGAACTGCCTCTCACTGCAACACAACAACACACACATTACACTGCAGCAACACACCCTGGAACTGCCTCTCACTGCAACACACACACATTACACTGCAGCAACACACATGGACCCTGGGACTGCCTCGCACTGCAACACAACAACACACACACACACACGTTTGTTTCTATGCCAATCTTTTCTTTTGATTTTATCCACAGTCTCTTTGATGTGTGTGGTTATGGTTTTCTTTCTAATCTTCGAGAGTAAATACAAACTTTTAGATCCACACTTCACGGAGAACACACTTTACAGAATGAATGTGACATCACCTCGTTCACACACCTGAGTGTTCAGCAGCAGAGTAAGTGATGTCTTTGAGAATCTTAAGGATGTTCACCGACAACAGGAAGTCACTGTGGACGCACATCATCTGAGACACACACACAGGTTAGACGGTTACACACACACACAGGTTAGACAGTTACACACACACATCTGAGACACACACACAGGTTAGACGGTTACACACACACACAGGTTAGACGGTTACACTAACACACACAGGTTAGACGGTTACACACACACACACAGGTTAGACGGTTACACACACACATCTGAGACACACACACAGGTTAGACGGTTACACACACACATCTGAGACACACACACAGGTTAGACAGTTACACACACACATCTGAGACACACACACAGGTTAGACGGTTACACACACACACAGGTTAGACGGTTACACACACACACAGGTTAGACGGTTACACTAACGCACACAGGTTAGACAGTTACACACACACACACAGGTTAGACGGTTACACACACACATAGGTTAGACGGTTACACTAACGCACACAGGTTAGACGGTTACACACACACACAGGTTAGACGGTTACACACACACACATCTGAGAGACACACACACAGGTTAGACAGTAACACACAGGTGACAGTGACACACACTGGACACACACAGGTGGCAGAGACACACACATGTTGTGTACCTTGAAGAGGAAGTGTGAGATTGGGGCAGGGCAGGGGGAGTGCAGGAAGGCCTCCTGGAACAGCCCGATGTGGACTTGGGTTTTGAACTGAGCGTGACTGGACCTGGACACACAACAACTGTGAGAAAACTCATGTTTTTAGGATGAAAAGTATTCAGTGAAATGTCAGTGTTGCATCGTTACAGAACGAGGAGCAATAAAGACGCAGGTCTAAAGTCTCTGACTTACGATAAAGAAGAAGAAATCCTGAATATTCTAGAGCATGAATATATAGTTTACATCTGTACATTAGCAGCAGTATGTTTGCATCTGTACCACACGCTCGCCACACGCTCGCCACACGCTCGCCACACACTCACCACGATATGTGATGTATGTAATGTCTATGTATATAAGTACATATCTAAGTACAGTATATATATATACTGTATATGTACAGTATATATATACTGTACATATACTGTATACTGTATGTATGTGATGATGTATATGTTGTATGTGATGCTAAATAGACGAACGACCACAGACCATAGCAGCGTCTTCTGAGCCACGCCCTGCGGCTCCAGACGACAGTTCCTCAGCTGCAGAGAGTCTTGGGTGAAGAAACGTCCAAACTTCTCCAGATCGAAGACGTTGTGTCCAGGAGCCACTTCTCTGATGGCACTGGAACACAGGGAATACCTCTGTAGCATCTGCCTGAGGAGAGAGAGGAGACTACATCAGGAACTGTAGCATCTGAGGAGAGAGAGGAGACTACATCAGGAACTGTAGCATCTGCCTGAGGAGAGAGAGGAGACTACATCAGGAACTGTAGCATCTGAGAAGAGAGAGGAGACTACATCAGGAACTGTAGCATCTGAGAAGAGAGAGGAGACTACATCAGGAACTGTAGCATCTGAGGAGAGAGAAGAGACTACATCAGGAACTGTAGCATCTGAGGAGATAGAGGAGACTACATCAGGAACTGTAGCATCTGAGAAGAGAGAGGAGACTACATCAGGAACTGTAGATTCTGAGGAGAGAGAGGAGACTACATCAGGAACTGTAGCATCTGAGAAGAGAGAGGAGACTACATCAGGAACTGTAGATTCTGAGGAGAGAGAGGAGACTACATCAGGAACTGTAGATTCTGAGGAGAGAGAGGAGACTACATCAGGAACTGTAGATTCTGAGGAGAGAGAGGAGACTACATCAGGAACTGTAGCATCTGAGGAGAGAGAGGAGACTACATCAGGAACTGTCCTTACTCAGGGCCTTATTCGGCCCCGCCCCCATACTGCCTCGACCAATGGAAATGTGGGCCATGATTCAGAAGGAGTGGTCTGTCTGTAAGAAAGTGCTCAGATGTGTTCTTACTGGTGCTCCGTGGACAGGGGCTCCTCCTCGTTCATCTCTGGCTCCTCAAACTCTGCGATCCTGAGCAGGTTCTCCTGACAGGACATGAGGAGCTCCGTGGCTGTCCCTTTAGCTCTGCTGTGGTCACAAACACAACACCAATAAACTACTGCTACAAACTACACCTTAGGGTTAGAGTTAGCTAACGGCCATAGCACAACACTAATAAACTGCACTTTAGGGTTAGGGCTGGCTTTACCCATTAAGGCCTGACACAGCTGGATAGGACAGACCTGTAAAACCTTCGGCCGCCTTTAGAACTTCAACGGCCTCTGTCGCAGATTGAAACATCATCAGTTGACACTTGTGGTTTTATATGAATGGAGAGTATGATTATAAACCTTCAGGAGAATAAGACAAAACATATACAACTTCCACACAAGAATTGTAATAAAAAACCAAAAATAATGTGAGAATAACACATGTTTCTCAATAAGTCAAAAAGAACAGGACAGAGAAAATTCAGGTGCCTCAGCTTTAATTCAGTGAGTTTTGGCTGCACTTCAAGAGGACACACATGGAAGACTTGGGGGAGACACAAGGGAGACGTGGGGGAGACACGGGGAAGACATGGGGGAGACACAAGGAAGACGTGGGGGAGACACAAGGAAGACGTGGGGGAGACACAAGGGAGACGTGGGGGAGACACGAGAGACCTGGGGGAGACACAAGGGAGACGTGGGGGAGACACAAGGAAGACGTGGGGGAGACACAAGGGAGACGTGGGGGAGACACGGGAGACGTGGGGGAGACACAAGGGAGACGTGGGGGAGACACATGGGAGACGTGGGGGAGACACATGGGAGACGTGGGGGAGACACGGGGAAGACATGGGGGAGACACAAGGGAGACGTGGGGGAGACACAAGGGAGACGTGGGGGAGACACAAGGGAGACGTGGGGGAGACACAAGGGAGACGTGGGGGAGACACGGGGAAGACATGGGGGAGACACAAGGAAGACGTGGGGGAGACACAAGGGAGACCTGGGGGAGACACGGGAGACCTGGGGGAGACACAAGGGAGACGTGGGGGAGACACAAGGGAGACGTGGGGGAGACACAAGGGAGACCTGGGGGAGACACGGGAGACCTGGGGGAGACACGGGAGACGTGGGGGAGACACAAGGAAGACGTGGGGGAGACACAAGGAAGACGTGGGGGAGACACAAGGGAGACGTGGGGGAGACACGGGAGACCTGGGGGAGACACAAGGGAGACGTGGGGGAGACACGGGAGACGTGGGGGAGACACAAGGGAGACGTGGGGGAGACATAAGGGAGACGTGGGGGAGACACATGGGAGACGTGGGGGAGACACATGGGAGACGTGGGGGAGACACGGGGAAGACATGGGGGAGACACAAGGGAGACGTGGGGGAGACACAAGGGAGACGTGGGGGAGACACAAGGGAGACGTGGGGGAGACACAAGGGAGACGTGGGGGAGACACGGGGAAGACATGGGGGAGACACAAGGGAGACACAAGGGAGACGTGGGGGAGACACATGGGAGACGTGGGGGAGACACATGGGAGACGTGGGGGAGACACGGGGAAGACATGGGGGAGACACAAGGGAGACGTGGGGGAGACACAAGGGAGACGTGGGGGAGACACAAGGGAGACGTGGGGGAGACACAAGGGAGACGTGGGGGAGACACGGGGAAGACATGGGGGAGACACAAGAAAGACGTGGGGGAGACACAAGGGAGACGTGGGGGAGACACGGGAGACCTGGGGGAGACACAAGGGAGACGTGGGGGAGACACAAGGGAGACGTGGGGGAGACACGGGAGACGTGGGGGAGACACAAGGAAGACGTGGGGGAGACACAAGGGAGACGTGGGGGAGACACGGGAGACCTGGGGGAGACACGGGAGACCTGGGGGAGACACAAGGGAGACGTGGGGGAGACACGGGAGACGTGGGGGAGACACAAGGGAGACGTGGGGGAGACACATGGGAGACGTGGGGGAGACACATGGGAGACGTGGGGGAGACACGGGGAAGACATGGGGGAGACACAAGGGAGACGTGGGGGAGACACAAGGGAGACGTGGGGGAGACACAAGGGAGACGTGGAGGAGACACAAGGGAGACGTGGGGGAGACACAAGGGAGACGTGGGGGAGACACGGGGAAGACATGGGGGAGACACAAGGAAGACGTGGGGGAGACACAAGGGAGACGTGGGGGAGACACGGGAGACCTGGGGGAGACACAAGGGAGACGTGGGGGAGACACAAGGGAGACGTGGGGGAGACACAAGGGAGACGTGGGGGAGACACATGGGAGACACATGGGAGACGTGGGGGAGACACATGGGAGACGTGGGGGAGACACGGGGAAGACATGGGGGAGACACAAGGGAGACGTGGGGGAGACACAAGGGAGACGTGGGGGAGACACAAGGGAGACGTGGGGGAGACACAAGGGAGACGTGGGGGAGACACGGGGAAGACGTGGGGGAGACACAAGGGAGACGTGGGGGAGACACAAGGGAGAGACACAAGGGAGACGTGGGGGAGACACATGGGAGACGTGGGGGAGACACATGGGAGACGTGGGGGAGACACATGGGAGACGTGGGGGAGACACATGGGAGACGTGGGGGAGACACAAGGGAGACGTGGGGGAGACACATGGGAGACGTGGGGGAGACACAAGGGAAAGACACATGGGAGACGTGGGGGAGACACAAGGGAGAGACACATGAGAGACTTGGGGGAGACACATGGGAGACGTGGGGGAGACACATGGGAGACGTGGGGGAGACGTGGGGGAGACACGGGGAAGACATGGGGGAGACACAAGGGAGACGTGGGGGAGACACGGGGAAGACATGGGGGAGACACAAGGGAGACGTGGGGGAGACACATGGGAGACGTGGGGGAGACACATGGGAGACATGGGGGAGAGATGGGGGAGACGTGGGGGAGGGACGGGGAAGACGTGGGGGAGAGACGGGGGAGACAGGGAAGACAGGCAAGCCCCGCACGTGCAACAAGCTGGGGATGGTCCTAATCGCGCGTCTATGGTCCGCAGTACACGACCAGTTACGGCTGTGCGTCTATGGTCCGCGGTACACGACCAGTTACGGCTGTGCGTCTATGGTCCGCGGTACATGACCAGTTACGGCTGTGTGCGTCTATGGTCCGCGGTACACGACCAGTTACGGCTGTGCGTCTATGGTCCGCGGTACATGACCAGTTACGGCTGTGCGTCTATGGTCCGCGGTACATCACCAGTTACGGCTGTGCGTCTATGGTCCGCGGTACATGACCAGTTACGGCTGTGCGTCTATGGTCCGCGGTACACGACCAGTTACGGCTGTGCGTCTATGGTCCGCGGTACATGACCAGTTACGGCTGTGCGTCTATGGTCCGCGGTACATCACCAGTTACGGCTGTGCGTCTATGGTCCGCGGTACATGACCAGTTACGGCTGTGCGTCTATGGTCCGCGGTACATCACCAGTTACGGCTGTGCGTCTATGGTCCGCGGTACATGACCAGTTACGGCTGTGCGTCTATGGTCCGCGGTACATGACCAGTTACGGCTGTGCGTCTATGGTCCGCGGTACATGACCAGTTACGGCTGTGCGTCTATGGTCCGTGGTACATGACCAGTTACGGCTGTGCGTCTATGGTCCGCGGTACATGACCAGTTACGGCTGTGCGTCTATGGTCCGCGGTACATGACCAGTTACGGCTGTGCGTCTATGGTCCGCGGTACATGACCAGTTACGGCTGTGTAGTCACTGAGCTGTGTCAAAGCGGCCACAGCTGCCCCGGGGTCAGAACAGAGGATGTGAATCGTGTTAGAGTACGTAACGCAAACAACAGCCCGCGGTCACACCTTTCACAGAAATTATATTTTCAGCGGGAAAAAGTCAGAAATCACGGATCTGCAGATAATTCTCATCCCTGGTTTATCATTGGTCACGAGAATTAAACAATGAAGAGAATTGGTCAATAAAAGATAAACAGACGCAGGCCTCGATATTAAGCTTTCTTTCATATATTTTACTTGCCCAATGTCAAAAGTTTTTTGCCCAAATGTTCCTCAATACAATGAGTTACAAGAGTTTGGCAATTAAGTGCTACTAACTGCAAAAAAAATCCACCTATGGTCCTGTCCGTGTCTATGGTCCTGTCCGTGTCCTGTCCGTGTCTATGGTCCTGTCCGTGTCCTGTCCGTGTCTATGGTCCTGTCCGTGTCCTGTCCGTGTCTATGGTCCTGTCCGTGTCTATGGTCCTGTCCGTGTCTATGGTCCTGTCCGTGTCTATGGTCCTGTCCGGTCTATGGTCCTGTCCGTGTCTATGGTCCTGTCCGTGTCTATGGTCCTGTCCGTGTCTATGGTCCTGTCCGTGTCTATGGTCCTGTCCGTGTCTATGGTCCTGTCCGTGTCTATGGTCCTGTCCGTGTCTATGGTCCTGTCCGTGTCTATGGTCCTGTCCGTGTCTATGGTCCTGTCCGTGTCTATGGTCCTGTCCGTGTCTATGGTCCTGTCCGTGTCTATGGTCCTGTCCGTGTCTATGGTCCTGTCCGTGTCTATGGTCCTGTCCGTGTCTATGGTCCTGTCCGTGTCTATGGTCCTGTCCGTGTCTATGGTCCTGTCCGTGTCTATGGTCCTGTCCGTGTCTATGGTCCTGTCCGTGTCTATGGTACTGTCCGTGTCTATGGTCCTGTCCGTGTCTATGGTCCTGTCCGTGTCTATGGTACTGTCCGTGTCTATGGTCCTGTCCGTGTCTATGGTCCTGTCCGTGTCTATGGTCCTGTCCGTGTCTATGGTCCTGTCCGTGTCTATGGTCCTGTCCGTGTCTATGGTCCTGTCCGTGTCTATGGTCCTGTCCGTGTCTATGCATGTGTCTGCTCCCGGCTCCAGAGAAAGAATGTGGGAATGCGTCTCCAGCATTGAATGGGTTCAAGTTCTACATCACTTCCCGTTCGGGCAACTTTCTACAACAGCTCGTCCCAAATCTGTAGATGCTCCGGGCAACGGACAACCATCAATGTCCAGCCCTGCAGACGGGACGCTTTCCTGACCTCAACAGGCAGAAGGCAGGCAACGTGTTACTGGCCTAAGAGGGCTAAAGCACCAGGATGTGTGCCAGAACGTGTTACTGGCCTAAGAGGGCTAAAGCACCAGGATGTGTGCCAGAACGTGTTACCGGCCTAAGAGGGCTAAAGCACCAGGATGTGTGCCAGAACGTGTTACTGGCCTAAGAGGGCTAAAGCACCAGGATGTGTGCCAGAACGTGTTACTGGCCTAAGAGGGCTAAAGCACCAGGATGTGTGCCAGAACGTGTTACCGGCCTAAGAGGGCTAAAGCACCAGGATGTGTGCCAGAACGTGTTACTGGCCTAAGAGGGCTAAAGCACCAGGATGTGTGCCAGAACGTGTTACTGGCCTAAGAGGGCTAAAGCACCAGGATGTGTGCCAGAACGTGTTACTGGCCTAAGAGGGCTAAAGCACCAGGATGTGTGCCAGAACGTGTTACTGGCCTAAGAGGGCTAAAGCACCAGGATGTGTGCCAGAACGTGTTACTGGCCTAAGAGGGCTAAAGCACTAGGATGTGTGCCAGAACGTGTTACCGGCCTAAGAGGGCTAAAGCACCAGGATGTGTGCCAGAACGTGTTACTGGCCTAAGAGGGCTAAAGCACCAGGATGTGTGCCAGAACGTGTTACTGGCCTAAGAGGGCTAAAGCACTAGGATGTGTGCCAGAACGTGTTACTGGCCTAAGAGGGCTAAAGCACCAGGATGTGTGCCAGAACGTGTTACTGGCCTAAGAGGGCTAAAGCACCAGGATGTGTGCCAGAACGTGTTACCGGCCTAAGAGGGCTAAAGCACCAGGATGTGTGCCAGAACGTGTTACTGGCCTAAGAGGGCTAAAGCACCAGGATGTGTGCCAGAACGTGTTACTGGCCTAAGAGGGCTAAAGCACCAGGATGTGTGCCAGAACGTGTTACCGGCCTAAGAGGGCTAAAGCACCAGGATGTGTGCCAGAACGTGTTACTGGCCTAAGAGGGCTAAAGCACCAGGATGTGTGCCAGAACGTGTTACTGGCCTAAGAGGGCTAAAGCACCAGGATGTGTGCCAGAACGTGTTACTGGCCTAAGAGGGCTAAAGCACCAGGATGTGTGCCAGAACGTGTTACTGGCCTAAGAGGGCTAAAGCACCAGGATGTGTGCCAGAACGTGTTACTGGCCTAAGAGGGCTAAAGCACTAGGATGTGTGCCAGAACGTGTTACCGGCCTAAGAGGGCTAAAGCACCAGGATGTGTGCCAGAACGTGTTACTGGCCTAAGAGGGCTAAAGCACCAGGATGTGTGCCAGAACGTGTTACTGGCCTAAGAGGGCTAAAGCACTAGGATGTGTGCCAGAACGTGTTACTGGCCTAAGAGGGCTAAAGCACCAGGATGTGTGCCAGAACGTGTTACTGGCCTAAGAGGGCTAAAGCACCAGGATGTGTGCCAGAACGTGTTACTGGCCTAAGAGGGCTAAAGCACCAGGTGTGTGCCAGAACGTGTTACTGGCCTAAGAGGGCTAAAGCACCAGGATGTGTGCCAGAACGTGTTACTGGCCTAAGAGGGCTAAAGCACCAGGATGTGTGCCAGAACGTGTTACTGGCCTAAGAGGGCTAAAGCACCAGGATGTGTGCCAGAACGTGTTACTGGCCTAAGAGGGCTAAAGCACCAGGATGTGTGCCAGAACGTGTTACTGGCCTAAGAGGGCTAAAGCACTAGGATGTGTGCCAGAACGTGTTACCGGCCTAAGAGGGCTAAAGCACCAGGATGTGTGCCAGAACGTGTTACTGGCCTAAGAGGGCTAAAGCACCAGGATGTGTGCCAGAACGTGTTACTGGCCTAAGAGGGCTAAAGCACTAGGATGTGTGCCAGAACGTGTTACTGGCCTAAGAGGGCTAAAGCACCAGGATGTGTGCCAGAACGTGTTACTGGCCTAAGAGGGCTAAAGCACCAGGATGTGTGCCAGAACGTGTTACTGGCCTAAGAGGGCTAAAGCACCAGGATGTGTGCCAGAACGTGTTACTGGCCTAAGAGGGCTAAAGCACTAGGATGTGTGCCAGAACGTGTTACCGGCCTAAGAGGGCTAAAGCACCAGGATGTGTGCCAGAACGTGTTACTGGCCTAAGAGGGCTAAAGCACCAGGATGTGTGCCAGAACGTGTTACTGGCCTAAGAGGGCTAAAGCACTAGGATGTGTGCCAGAACGTGTTACCGGCCTAAGAGGGCTAAAGCACCAGGATGTGTGCCAGAACGTGTTACTGGCCTAAGAGGGCTAAAGCACCAGGATGTGTGCCAGAACGTGTTACTGGCCTAAGAGGGCTAAAGCACCAGGATGTGTGCCAGAACGTGTTACTGGCCTAAGAGGGCTAAAGCACCAGGATGTGTGCCAGAACGTGTTACTGGCCTAAGAGGGCTAAAGCACCAGGATGTGTGCCAGAACGTGTTACCGGCCTAAGAGGGCTAAAGCACCAGGATGTGTGCCAGAACGTGTTACCGGCCTAAGAGGGCTAAAGCATCAGGATGTGTGCCAGAACGTGTTACTGGCCTAAGAGGGCTAAAGCATCAGGATGTGTGCCAGAACGTGTTACTGGCCTAAGAGGGCTAAAGCACCAGGATGTGTGCCAGAACGTGTTACTGGCCTAAGAGGGCTAAAGCACCAGGATGTGTGCCAGAACGTGTTACTGGCCTAAGAGGGCTAAAGCACCAGGATGTGTGCCAGAACGTGTAACCGGCCTAAGAGGGCTAAAGCACCAGGATGTGTGCCAGAACGTGTTACTGGCCTAAGAGGGCTAAAGCACCAGGATGTGTGCCTGAACGTGTTACTGGCCTAAGAGGGCTAAAGCACCAGGATGTGTGCCAGAACGTGTTACTGGCCTAAGAGGGCTAAAGCACCAGGATGTGTGCCAGAACGTGTTACTGGCCTAAGAGGGCTAAAGCACCAGGATGTGTGCCAGAACGTGTTACTGGCCTAAGAGGGCTAAAGCACCAGGATGTGTGCCAGAACGTGTTACCGGCCTAAGAGGGCTAAAGCACCAGGATGTGTGCCAGAACGTGTTACCGGCCTAAGAGGGCTAAAGCATCAGGATGTGTGCCAGAACGTGTTACTGGCCTAAGAGGGCTAAAGCATCAGGATATGTGCCAGAACGTGTTACTGGCCTAAGAGGGCTAAAGCACCAGGATGTGTGCCAGAACGTGTTACTGGCCTAAGAGGGCTAAAGCACCAGGATGTGTGCCAGAACGTGTTACTGGCCTAAGAGGGCTAAAGCACCAGGATGTGTGCCAGAACGTGTTACTGGCCTAAGAGGGCTAAAGCACCAGGATGTGTGCCAGAACGTGTTACTGGCGTAAGAGGGCTAAAGCACCAGGATGTGTGCTAGAACGTGTTACCGGCCTAAGAGGGCTAAAGCACCAGGATGTGTGCCAGAACGTGTTACCGGCCTAAGAGGGCTAAAGCACCAGGATGTGTGCCAGAACGTGTTACTGGCCTAAGAGGGCTAAAGCACCAGGATGTGTGCCAGAACGTGTTACCGGCCTAAGAGGGCTAAAGCACCAGGATGTGTGCCAGAACGTGTTACTGGCCTAAGAGGGCTAAAGCACCAGGATGTGTGCCAGAACGTGTTACTGGCCTAAGAGGGCTAAAGCACTAGGATGTGTGCCAGAACGTGTTACCGGCCTAAGAGGGCTAAAGCACCAGGATGTGTGCCAGAACGTGTTACTGGCCTAAGAGGGCTAAAGCACCAGGATGTGTGCCAGAACGTGTTACTGGCCTAAGAGGGCTAAAGCACCAGGATGTGTGCCAGAACGTGTTACCGGCCTAAGAGGGCTAAAGCACCAGGATGTGTGCCAGACTCACTTCTTGCGGTTGATCTCCTGCAGCATCAGGTCCAGGTTGTTGGTGTAGGTTCCAGTCTTCACAGAGGACAGCTCCTGCTGCGGAAGACACCACACGTGAGCAGATGGGGGAGGAGGGGGAGGGATCATGAGGGAGAGGAGAGGATCATGAGGGAGAGGAGAGGAGGGATCATGAGGGAGAGGAGAGGAAGGATCATGAGGGAGAGGAAGGATCATGAGGGAGAGGAAGGATCATGAGGGAGAGGAAGGATCATGAGGAGAGGAGAGGAGGGATCATGAGGGAGAGGAGGGATCTTGAGGGAGAGGAGGGATCATGAGGGAGAGGAGGGATCATGAGGGATAGGAGGGATCATGAGGGAGAGGAAGGATCATGAGGGAGAGGAAGGATCATGAGGGAGAGGAGGGATCATGAGGGAGAGGAAGGATCATGAGGGAGAGGAGAGGAAGGATCATGAGGGAGAGGAAGTATCATGAGGGAGAGGAGGGATCATGAGGGAGAGGAAGGATCATGAGGGAGAGGAGAGGAGGGATCATGAGGGAGAGGAGAGGAAGGATCATGAGGGAGAGGAGAGGAAGGATCATGAAGGAGAGGAGAGGAAGGATCATGAGGGAGAGGAGGGATCATGAGGGAGAGGAAGGATCATGAGGGAGAGGAGAGGAAGGGTCATGAGGGAGAGGAGGGATCATGAGGGAGAGGAAGGATCATGAGGGAGAGGAAGGATCATGAGGGAGAGGAAGGATCATGAGGGAGAGGAAAGAGCATGAGGGAGAGGAGGGATCATGAGGGAGAGGAGAGGAAGGATCATGAGGGAGAGGAGAGGAAGGGTCATGAGGGAGAGGAAAGATCATGAGGGAGAGGAAGGATCATGAGGGAGAGGAAGGATCATGAGGGAGAGGAAGGATCATGAGGGAGAGGAGAGGAAGGATCATGAGGGAGAGGAAGGATCATGAGGGAGAGGAGGGATCATGAGGGAGAGGAAGGATCATGAGGGAGAGGAAGGATCATGAGGGAGAGGAGAGGAAGGATCATGAGGGAGAGGAGAGGAAGGATCATGAGGGAGAGGAGAGGAAGGATCATGAAGGAGAGGAGGGATCATGAGGGAGAGGAGGGATCATGAGGGAGAGGAAGGATCATGAGGGAGAGGAAGGATCATGAGGGAGAGGAAAGGTCATGAGGGAGAGGAGGGATCATGAGGGAGAGGAGGGATCATGAGGGAGAGGAAAGATCATGAGGGAGAGGAAAGATCATGAGGGAGAGGAGGGATCATGAGGGAGAGGAGGGATCATGAGGGAGAGGAAGGATCATGAGGGAGAGGAGACCTGGGTCCATTGAGCTGACGGGGGGTTAGATTCTGTTCAGTATCGCACCATTTTGCACACAATTAAAACATTACAGTAAAAAAGTATTACGATATTAATGTTTTCCTCATTTTACTCTGGTCATTTATGTATGCGTATTACATTCACAAGGTGGCGCCGTTTACTCTATGTCTGTAATAAGGTCCTGTGTCCTGAAGGTTCAAGGATAGAGTCTCTCCCTCCTCAGTGCTTGCTTCAGTTCATGTACAGACCATAATAAATGACACAGAAATGAGGGACATGAAGAACATACAGAATTGCAATAATATTGTATCGTGGCCTGAATATTGCAGTACTATCCAATCTTCACACGTTTGCCAGTTCCCACTCTAGTAAAGAACTCTGTTGTAGCTCACTGGCCTAACGTCAACACAGGAGGCTGTACTGTGAAGGTCTCTGGGCCTTTGAGGTTCAAAGATCTCAAAGGGATTTCAAAAAGGTAAGAACAGAGAAGAACAGCATTCATCAAGTGCCAAGAACGGCAGAAGAAACAATGGATTCCATCTCCCTCATTTTCTTTCAACAAATATTTCAGAGTGGTGTGTCCCTCACCCGTCTGCTGTGGTCGCCGGTGTGGTCGCTGGAGCCTGGGGCGGGCCCAGGGGGGGGGCCTCTCTCTGGCCTGTCAGGGGCCTTGCTCTTGCTCATGATCTCCTGGAGGGACACCAGAGGCTCATCCTCGCTGACGCTGCTGTCACCGTCTGAGTGCAGATCCAGGTCCAGATCCAGGTCCAGGTCCAAGTCCAGGTCCAGAGAATCTCCAGCATTTGGCTTCTTCTTCCTCTCCTCTCTCTCCTTTGCATACCGCGAAACCTTTTTAGCAGGTAGACTGAGACGCCTCAAGCTGACAATCGGCAATGAGAGCTGAATGGGATTTGGGCTCGTTACGTTAGCTACATTAGCTACGTTAGCTACATTAGCTACATTAGCTACATTAGCTGAGTTAGCTGAGTTAGCTGAGTTAGCTACATTAGCTGAGTTAGCTGAGTTAGCTACATTAGCTGAGTTAGCTGAGTTAGCTAAATTAGCTAAATTAGCTGAGTTAGCTACATTTGCCATGTTATCATGTGGCGTTTTGGCTGATGGGAGGCTTGGCGTGGCAGTTTTCTCTTTATTATGGCACGGCGTGGTCTCGCTTTTCTTGCTCCTTTCCTTGTCTTCTGGCGTGGCTTTGTGGGCCTTGCCGGTGTTAACGGGATCTGGTGCGAACAGGTCACTTAAATCGTCCATCACCGATGGCTTTTTGACACGGTGAAGCTTGCGGCAGCTCGGCCCGGCGCTGGCCTTCGCATTGTTGCAGTTTAAGTCTGCGGGTTCATTGGTGCCGTCGTGGTGAGCCGAGCGATGCCTGTCGGAGCTGCTTCTGTGCGACTCCTTTTTGGACTCTTTGTGCGTTTTGGTCACGGTTTCACTTTTCCCCGACGGCGGCCAGATTTTCACCAGATCATCGTTGATAAATGTAATACAAAGTTGATTAACGCCAGACTTGTGTGGGCACGAGGGAGGGAGCTTGTCAGGGGTTGTGGGAGTCTGTCGGTGCAGGACGTTAGCTGCCACGGGTCTCACGGTTCTGTCTGTGGCTGGAGAGGGGGGGCAGCGTTTGTTGGCGCCGCCGTCGTCGCTCCCAGAAGATCTGCACCTCTTCTGATGCGCGTCACCTGCGGAGGAGACGAAACACAGGTAAAACACGGTTGTTGCGACCAAGTTGTTAGTTTGTTCATTGAACAAGGAGAAAAACATGAACGGACATGTCTGACATCTGACAACACTGGTCTCTGCTTCTGCACCAATGTCTGATTAAAGTGTTTGATTCTCTAATCTGTGTTGGAGAATCGACAGTTTTGTAAAGCCCTCAGAGCCAACTGCTGTTGGGATTTAGGGCGATCCCAAACATGAAATAAACTGAACTTGCACGACTAACAACTGAAGAAGGAAACATGTGATACAGACTTTTGAAAGAACATATGAGAAAGAGTATGAGAGATAAAAGAGTTCTTACTGGTGTGAGACGTGTGTGCAGTTCTCCCTTCCTGGTGTCGCTTCTGGTGGAAAACAGAGCAGCATTAGCATTAGCATTGCATTAGCATAGGTCCGGTGCATGTGCAGACCTTTGAGAGCTTAGGGCTGGTGTGTGGGAAGGGGAAGCTGCTCCTCCGGCTCTGGTCTGAGACTCGAGGCTGGACCAGGCCACTGCTGCTGCTGGAGCTCCAGGACTCACTGCGCTGTAGGGGGGGGGCACCAGTCCAACTTTGGGGCTTCCTCATCGGAGCAGGAGGCTGTTAACAGAGCGATGACGACAAATCAGGCAATGCACATGTTTGTAGTGGTTTGAAACCTGTTTACAGGCAGTAGCTGTATCTAAATGCCTTTTCCTGGCCTCCTTCTGTCTTCTATTCTGTTGTTCTCTGAAGGAAACATCTTGGAATAATCAATCCACTGAGGCACAGAAGGAGCAGGAGAATTGATTGAAAGATGAAAATGATAGAATTGAAGAGAGGAGTCAAGAAGAAGAGACGAGGAAAGCGTTTGGATGCAGCTTGTGAAAAAGCTCAGACCAAAGAAACCACAGAAACCAGTGTCCAGGTCCTACATGGTTCTTCTGTCTCCTCACCATCACCAGGTATTATTACTTCATAGTTTTACACACAGCAGAACTCTGGTATGATCATGAGTCAAACAGTAAGCAATCAAATCCTCCAGTCCACGTTCCTCCACATTGGTGCAGATGCAGAGACTCTGACCCACTTTGGGGAAATGTCAGTGTTGCATCAGCAGTTACACAACAGTAGGAATGAGGAGCAAACAGCACAAGATAAGAACAATAAATAACAATACAAAACCTAAGCAAACTAAGAAGTATAAGTCCTGTTTATTCTAGTGCATTGTTACGGCTGGCTCAGAGCCATAACCAATAGGGAGGCTTAAACGGGACTAAAAAGTGTCTGTACCAACCTGGCTTCATCTGTACCGACCTGGCTTCATCTGTACCAACCTGGCTTCATCTGTACCGACCTGGCTTCATCTGTACCGACCTGGCTTCATCTGTACCGACCTGGCTTCATCTGTACCGACCTGGCTTCATCTGTACCGACCTGGCTTCATCTGTACCGACCTGGCTTCATCTGGACCAACCTATCTGTACCGACCTGGCTTCATCTGTACCGACCTGGCTTCATCTGTACCGACCTGGCTTCATCTGTACCGACCTGGCTTCATCTGGACCAACCTATCTGTACCGACCTGGCTTCATCTGTACCGACCTGGCTTCATCTGTACCGACCTGGCTTCATCTGTACCGACCTGGCTTCATCTGTACCGACCTGGCTTCATCTGTACCGACCTGGCTTCATCTGTACCGACCTGGCTTCATCTGTACCGACCTGGCTTCATCTGTACCGACCTGGCTTCATCTGTACCGACCTGGCTTCATCTGTACCGACCTGGCTTCATCTGTACCGACCTGGCTTCATCTGTACCGACCTGGCTTCATCTGTACCGACCTGGCTTCATCTGTACCGACCTGGCTTCATCTGGACCAACCTATCTGTACCGACCTGGCTTCATCTGTACCGACCTGGCTTCATCTGTACCGACCTGGCTTCATCTGTACCGACCTGGCTTCATCTGGACCAACCTATCTGTACCGACCTGGCTTCATCTGTACCGACCTGGCTTCATCTGTACCGACCTGGCTTCATCTGTACCGACCTGGCTTCATCTGTACCGACCTGGCTTCATCTGTACCGACCTGGCTTCATCTGTACCGACCTGGCTTCATCTGGACCGACCTGGCTTCATCTGGACCGACCTGGCTTCATCTGTACCGACCTGGCTTCATCTGTACCGACCTGGCTTCATCTGTACCGACCTGGCTTCATCTGTACCGACCTGGCTTCATCTGTACCGACCTGGCTTCATCTGTACCGACCTGGCTTCATCTGTACCGACCTGGCTTCATCTGGACCTGGGCCGACCTGGCTTCATCTGGACCGACCTGGCTTCATCTGTACCAACCTGGCTTCATCTGTACCAACCTGGCTTCATCTGTACCAACCTGGCCAACCTGGCTCCATCTGGACCAACCTGGCTTCATCTGTACCGACCTGGCTTCATCTGGACCAACCTGGCTTCATCTGTACCGACCTGGCTTAATCTGGAGCAGGTGGTGAATAAACGCGCTTCATGACTGTAGGCCGGACTTTGCCAACTCAAAGAGGCCATAGTCACAGACACACCTACAGGTCTGTTACAGCACAGACACCTACAGACACACCTACAGGTCTGTTACAGCACAGACACCTACAGACACACCTACAGGTCTGTTACAGCACAGACACCTACAGACACACCTACAGGTCTGTTACAGCACACAGACACACCTACAGGTCTGTTACAGCACACAGACACACCTACAGGTCTGTTACAGCACACAGACACACCTACAGGTCTGTTACAGCACACAGACACACCTACAGGTCTGTTACAGCACACAGACACACCTACAGGTCTGTTACAGCACAGACACACCTACAGGTCTGTTACAGCACACAGACACACCTACAGGTCTGTTACAGCACAGACACACCTACAGGTCTGTTACAGCACAGACACCTACAGACACACCTACAGGTCTGTTACAGCACAGACACCTACAGACACACCTACAGGTCTGTTACAGCACAGACACCTACAGACACACCTACAGGTCTGTTACAGCACAGACACCTACAAACACACCTACAGGTCTGTTACAGCACAGACACCTACAAACACACCTACAGGTCTGTTACAGCACAGACACCTACAGGTCTGTTACAGCACAGACACCTACAGGTCTGTTACAGCACAGACACTTACAGACACACCTACAGGTCTGTTACAGCACAGACACTTACAGACACACCTACAGGTCTGTTACAGCACACAGACACACCTACAGGTCTGTTACAGCACAGACACCTACAGGTCTGTTACAGCACACAGACACACCTACAGGTCTGTTACAGCACAGACACACCTACAGGTCTGTTACAGCACAGACACCTACAGGTCTGTTACAGCACAGACACTTACAGACACACCTACAGGTCTGTTACAGCACAGACACTTACAGACACACCTACAGGTCTGTTACAGCACACAGACACACCTACAGGTCTGTTACAGCACAGACACCTACAGGTCTGTTACAGCACACAGACACACCTACAGGTCTGTTACAGCACAGACACACCTACAGGTCTGTTACAGCACAGACACCTACAGACACACCTACAGGTCTGTTACAGCACAGACACTTACAGACACACCTACAGGTCTGTTACAGCACAGACACTTACAGACACACCTACAGGTCTGTTACAGCACACAGACACACCTACAGGTCTGTTACAGCACAGACACCTACAGGTCTGTTACAGCACACAGACACACCTACAGGTCTGTTACAGCACAGACACCTACAGGTCTGTTACAGCACACAGACACACCTACAGGTCTGTTACAGCACAGACACACCTACAGGTCTGTTACAGCACACAGACACACCTACAGGTCTGTTACAGCACAGACACCTACAGGTCTGTTACAGCACAGACACCTACAGACACACCTACAGGTCTGTTACAGCACACAGACACACCTACAGGTCTGTTACAGCACAGACACCTACAGGTCTGTTACAGCACAGACACCTACAGACACACCTACAGGTCTGTTACAGAGGGCATATACCTGAGCAGACACAGAGTCTCTGGCCTTCTCTGGTGATGACAGTGCAGCGTGTGAAGAGCGAGGAGGAGGAGGAGGAGGACGATGATGATGATGATGATGATGATGATGATGATGATGATGATGATGGTGGTGAGCAGGTGTGTGGGACAGCTGCCGGGACCCCCCACGGTGGCCGTAGTTCTCCCCGTCCTTCTGTCTCGCCGGCCCTGGGTGTCCTGGGTGTCCTGGGTGTCCTGGGTGTCCTGGGTGCAGAGAGGGCCGGGAGCTGGGGCTGAGGTGAGGCTTGTGCGGGTGCGGCGGGAGGCGGTTGGGGATCTGAGAGGGCTTCATGGGGGCGTCCAGAGCAAAGGGGGTCAGCTGAGAGTGGTGTGGAGTCTCTGAAGCGGAGAGGAGGACGCCACCTACAGGAGAGATCCACAGTGGGGAAATGTCAGTGTTGCATGTCACAGAACAGCAGGAATAAATGAACAATAGCTCTGTACTAAAATGAAATAACATCTGACATTAGCATAATAAAGAAACTACTCCACTGGGTTGAAAGAGGCGCTGCAGGAGGTGGAGTCTGGACCGTACTGAGGGCTATGTTTCTCACGTGTTTGTGTGTGTGCAAAACATATGAACATCAAACAGATCTTTGCTCACGCAGAGATAGAACCCGACACTAGAACTGCACACACTATTCTACTTTGCTCACGCAGTTCAGCTCCTGACAAACAAAATAAACTCTACATTTCACAAACAGGAAAACTAAGAATGAAAAGTTTGTTGAAAGTTTTAAAGTTCATCGTTTGTTTCTGTGACTTCATCATGATCGTGTGCTTTAGGTCTCCTCTGGTCACATCCACAAGGGGGCGCTTGCTGCTGGGCTTTGTATATTTGCATTTATTCAACAGAAAGTGCAAATGAAAATGACTCACATCCAGCTCTGAAAGGATCACGTCTCTGCTCTCAGTGTTAGCTCCAGGTCATGAATTTTTGCTAGTTTCCAGTTTGTAGTTTAAATGTAGAAGATTTAAAAACACTGATATGACCGTGACACATGTTTACCTTTGATTATCAACTCATACTCTACTACTTTTAGTTACTGCAGCATTAGTTACTACACATAGTAGTAGTGTGTAGTATAAGTGTGTGTGCAGTATTAGTGTGTAGTAGTAGTAGTAGTGTCTGTAGTAGAGCGTGTGTGTGTGTGTGTGTAGTATAAGTGTGTGTGTGGTAGTAGTGTGAAGTATTAGTGTGTATAGTAGTAGTATGTAGTATAAGTGTGTGTGTGTGGTAGTAGTGTGTAGTATAAGTGTGTGTGTGTGTCGTAGTAGTGTGTAGTATAAGTGTGTGTGTGTGTGTGTGTCGTAGTAGTATGTAGTATAAGTGTGTGTGTGTGGTAGTAGTGTGTAGTATAAGTGTGTGTGTCGTAGTAGTGTGTAGTAGTAGTGTGTAGTAGTAGTGTGTGTGCTGATACCAGTGAGTGCAAAGTGATGGAACCAGGTACAACAGGTCTGACCGGATTCACCAACTGTCTATTCTCCTGCTGCAGATTCTCCTGCTGCAGATTCTACTGCTGCAGATTCTACTGCTGCGATTCTACTGCTGCAGATTCTACTGCTGCGATTCTACTGCTGCAGATTCTACTGCTGCGATTCTACTGCTGCAGATTCTACTGCTGCAGATTCTACTGCTGCAGATTCTACTGCTGCAGATTCTACTGCTGCGATTCTACTGCTGCAGATTCTACTGCTGCGATTCTACTGCTGCAGATTCTACTGCTGCGATTCTACTGCTGCAGATTCTACTGCTGCAGATTCTACTGCTGCAGATTCTCCTGCTGCAGATTCTACTGCTGCAGATTCTACTGCTGCAGATTCTACTGCTGCAGATTCTACTGCTGCGATTCTACCGATGCAGATTCTACTGCTGCAGATTCTCCTGCTGCAGATTCTACTGCTGCAGATTCTCCTGCTGCAGATTCTACCGATGCAGATTCTCCTGCTGCAGATTCTACTGCTGCAGATTCTCCTGCTGCAGATTCTACTGCTGCGATTCTACCGATGCAGATTCTCCTGCTGCAGATTCTCCTGCTGCAGATTCTCCTGCTGCAGATTCTACCGATGCAGATTCTCCTGCTGCAGATTCTACCGATGCAGATTCTCCTGCTGCAGATTCTCCTGCTGCAGATTCTACCGATGCAGATTCTCCTGCTGCAGATTCTACCGCTGCAGATTCTACTGCTGCAGATTCTACTGCTGCAGATTCTCCTGCTGCAGATTCTACTGCTGCAGATTCTACTGCTGCAGATTCTCCTGCTGCAGATTCTCCTGCTGCAGATTCTACCGATGCAGATTCTCCTGCTGCAGATTCTCCTGCTGCAGATTCTCCTGCTGCAGATTCTACCGATGCAGATTCTCCTGCTGCAGATTCTCCTGCTGCAGATTCTACCGCTGCAGATTCTACTGCTGCAGATTCTACCGCTGCAGATTCTACCGCTGCAGATTCTACTGCTGCAGATTCTACTGCTGCCGATTCTCCTGCTGCAGATTCTCCTGCTGCAGATTCCACTGTGATAATCACAATCATAATCAAAAACAAAAACAGTCAGAGAGTTATGAAGACTAGAGTCATGTGCTTCCAAACTTAAAAGGCGTCAGTTTGACTGCTGTGGGGGTGTGACCCAGAGTCAGATTGACAGCTGTGGGGGTGTGACCCAGAGTCAGTTTGACTGCTGTGGGGGTGTAACCCAGAGTCAGATTGACTGCTGTGGGGGTGTGACCCAGAGTCAGATTGACTGCTGTGGGGGTGTGACCCAGAGTCAGATTGACTGCTGTGGGGGTGTGACCCAGAGTCAGATTGACTGCTGTGGGGGTGTGACCCAGAGTCAGATTGACTGCTGTGGGGGTGTGACCCAGAGTCAGATTGACTGCTGTGGGGGTGTGACCCAGAGTCAGATTGACTGCTGTGGGGGTGTGACCCAGAGTCAGATTGACTGCTGTGGGGGTGTGACCCAGAGTCAGATTGACTGCTGTGGGGGTGTGACCCAGAGTAAGATTGACTGCTGTGGGGGTGTGACCCAGAGTCAGATTGACTGCTGTGGGGGTGTAACCCAGAGTCAGATTGACTGCTGTGGGGGTGTAACCCAGAGTCAGATTGACTGCTGTGGGGGTGTGACCCAGAGTCAGATTGACTGCTGTGGGGGTGTGACCCAGAGTCAGATTGACTGCTGTGGGGGTGTGACCCAGAGTCAGATTGACTGCTGTGGGGGTGTAACCCAGAGTCAGATTGACTGCTGTGGGGGTGTAACCCAGAGTCAGATTGACTGCTGTGGGGGTGTGACCCTGAACATAAACACATCTATTATGTGTAATTAAATAATTAAAGTAACCATGTGTGGCTCACCTTTCCTCCTGGGGGACAAACGCTCAGACAGAAACCTGCAACAAATGTCCAAATATCATCTGCACGTTTGTCAACAAACACCTTATTCACGTTTCTATGACGACCACAGTCATAACGACCATGTTTGAAATGACCCGCGCAGAGGACCCGCGCAGAGGTGACAGGTGCAGAGGTGACAGGTGCAGAGGTGACAGGTGCAGAGGTGACAGGTGCAGAGGTGACAGGTGCAGAGGTGACAGGTGCAGAGGTGACAGGTGCAGAGGTGACAGGTGCAGAGGTGACAGGTGCAGAGGTGACAGGTGCAGAGGTGACAGGTGCAGAGGTGACAGGTGTAGAAGTGACAGGTGTAGAAGTGACAGGTGCAGAGGTGACAGGTGTAGAAGTGACAGGTGTAGAAGTGACAGGTGCAGAGGTGACAGGTGTAGAGGTGACAGGTGTAGAAGTGACAGGTGTAGAAGTGACAGGTGTAGAAGTGACAGGTGCAGAGGTGACAGGTGTAGAAGTGACAGGTGTAGAAGTGACAGGTGTAGAAGTGACAGGTGTAGAAGTGACAGGTGTAGAAGTGACAGGTGTAGAAGTGACAGGTGTAGAAGTGACAGGTGTAGAAGTGACAGGTGTAGAAGTGACAGGTGTAGAAGTGACAGGTGTAGAAGTGACAGGTGTAGAAGTGACAGGTGTAGAAGTGACAGGTGTAGAAGTGACAGGTGTAGAAGTGACAGGTGTAGAAGTGACAGGTGTAGAAGTGACAGGTGTAGAAGTGACAGGTGACAGGTGTTTACAGGATTCTGACCAATCACTGCATGACAACTCCAGTCTCACTCATACTTGTTTGCCTCCCCCTTCAGCTAATATATATATCTATATATATATAGATATATATTATAATATACTAACACCGACACTACTTGTATAAAGTTTAGCTTTAAAGCAACAATGATAAAGTAAAGTGAAAATACATGTAAGATAAATTTAAATATCGAGTTGAAGCTGCTCCACACACGTCTGTATTCATATGTTATACTGCATTAGATTATTATTAAGTGCTAAATACTGCAGGTGTACAACACTTTAAACGATCAGAGTGCATGTGACGTATTTGTGAATATTTCCATAAGAAGCTAATGTTAGCATGTTAGCATGTTAGCAGGGGTGCAGCTCTTACACATTGTCGCTGAGGTTTTCTGAAGACTCTCTCATAGTGCGTCATGAAGAACGGAGAGTCCAATAAAGTCCGTCCAAGGCTTCTGCAGTGAACAAGTACAACTGTTCGTGCCTAAAACACGAAAACAGATCAGGAAGAAGCGCATCTCTCCCGCCTGAAGCTCAAGCGTCAACTGTGAGTGGAGAGAGGCATTCTGGGAACTGTAGTCCATCACAGGCTTCAAACACTGCAGAAAGATACAACATACGGGGCTGTTCCACCATAAAACTATTAACAAGGCAAGGCAGGGCGAGTTTATTTGTATAGCACAGTTCATACACAAGGAAACTCTAAGTGCAACAAAACAAGACAGAAACATTAAAACTTAGCTAAATTAGTTAAATAATCACAGTTCATTAAAAAGATCAAATCCTTCAGTTGATGCAGAAACAGAACTGTTTTTGATTTTTGAAGCCAGGATAAAAAAGAAACTCTGTCCTCCAAAATAAAAAGGAGTTCTTTATTTCTCTTGAAAGAAACCACCAAATTTGTGTCAGTTAATTATCATGAAAACGGCAGTGGCACCTCTATACATAGTTCCCACATGACGTCACTACATACGGGGATTTGCCGACCCGGCGCCATTTGTGTTGGCATGCTGTGGGCAAAACAATAGAAAAAGAAGCTGAAACGTGTTAATGTCGTGATAAAGTTGAAAATGGTCGTCTCCTGCTGGGTCAATGGATGTTCAAATCGTGCCGGAGGTTCCGTTAAACTTGGATTTTACAGTATACCCATCATTAGACTTCATGAATGTGAGAAGACTAAGCTTTTGTCAGAACAACGACGGAGGTTATGGCTTGCGAAGATAAACAGGCAAGAAACTCCCTCAAAACACGCAAGAATATGCTCGGAGCACTTTGTGTCAGGTGCGTATCGTATCTTATAATGTGTTGACAGACGTAATTTACTCAGTACTAACTTGTGTATGCTGATAGCTGGTAACTTGAGAGTTTCATTATTTAGCGTTAGATTACTTTATTATGAGGAGGATCGGTGTCGCGTCCGAGGCTCTCGAGGGCAACGTAAATGTATTAAATAGATAATAATAGTTCTATGGTGGGCTAAAACAATGTTCACAAACAGCATTGCTTCTGTAAAAAGATCTGTGTCATAAAATAAACTGCTCTTTACGCCTGGAAAAATCAGTTGCCCACCATTCACCAAAACATACGGTCAAAAACGCGGAAATAAACAATAACAGCAATCCAGAATGTCCGTGTGGCATTAGCATTAATTAAATTAATTGTTAATATAATTAAAATAATTAAATGGAGCTCCAACTGGTATTAAATCTAAAGTTTTTGAGAAATGTTTGCATTGCTTGTTAATTTTTGCTGCATAATTTGATCAAATATGTAAAACATGTCCGTAGCACGTTAAACTGTGGTGCCATTGTATTAATATACAATTATTTGCTCAAAAGTTGCCCTTTTTTTCCAATTTGCGTTTGAATATCTACATTTATTCTCATTCTTCTGTTTAATGGAATGCACAAACATAGCAGCGTGCCATCAAAGATGGCGTCTCCGGGGAGGTCATGTGACATTCATTGGTCTGTGGGAACTATGTATACCAGGACAAAACACCTCTATACCAGGACAAAACACCTCTATACCAGGACAAAACACCTCTATACCAGGACAAAACAATACAGTCCACTGGTTACATTTCAAACATTAAAATGTAAAACAAGATGATCAAACAAATACAACAATACAGATCGTGTCTCACCAAATATAAAGTTCAGACGGATGTAACATGCCAGTAAGTGCCTCAACAGCTTTCAGTAAAAACCACAGTGTGAGCTGTGCGTTACTATGGTAACAGCCCAGTGTGTTATTATTTAAATCCAAAGACACATAGCACTGGCAACTGTGAGATTTCATAACACTTTTAAGCAACTTTTGTTGCTTAAATGATGTTGATAGAATGATGAGTTAAACTCATCATTCTATCAATGTGCAGAAGCCAGTACTTTTCCCTTGTTGTGTCTATCTGAAGGCCAAGCTACATGGCACTGTGGCAGCTGCTGATTGGAGGTCTCCATGCCAACGCTCTGTATAATACACTTGCATTCTGTTGTTCGTGTTGTTCGTGCTGTCTCTACCATCGACAATAAAACATGTCTTCTGTCAGAATTTAAGACACAATCCCAGATATGCCATCTTCTTCACAACCTCTGGTGATACTAACAAAAAAAACACAGAATATTTCTCCACCTGGTTACTTACGGATTAGTCAGAGAAGAAATCTGTCTCACATTTTCAGGAAGACTGTTCTAGATTTTTGCATAAATCTGGAACACCACCTCCTCATGTTTAGTCTTGAATCTGGCTCCTCTGAGTCCCAGCAGGAGGCCAGTCCCTGTGCTCCTCAGAGGGTTCATATATGGCACTAACATGAACATAAAACACATGTATTTCCTAAAACAATATAATTAATGTTCACATTTTGAGGTCGTATTAAATGTGGATAATTATTATTTTCAGTGAGATCATTCCACATTTTTACACCAAACACACTTCTATGCACATGGGTCATTTTGGGGAACTTTCCTCGCCTGGTTTTCTTTGTGTATAATGGTTCATAAAACAGTCATCTTTTGATGCAGAGTCAAGCAGTATACTTTGTTTTTTTCAGTACAACCTGGGGTTTTAGAATATTCATATTGTAAAGCTGTCATATGAATTATATAAAAATGATGGAATCATAAAGACAAAGAAAAAAATCAAACGGAAAATCAATTTAACAAAAATGTATTGAAAAAACACAATGAAATGCTATAAAAAACTTTTTACACTGCATAGAAATGTTATTTATGGTCTTGGGGATAATGGGGGAAAAAATTGAATCTCTATCTATTATACTTTTTACAAAATTACACTATAAAAGCAAAAAACTCTGTACTCCTGATGCCCTTCCTGAAGCAGTTTGTCTATAATGCTGGGGTTGCTTCTGTAGTACAGCTGTAAAAAACGTAAAACATAAAAAACTGAGCCAAAAAAAAAATAAAGCATCAATTATTTATTTAATACATATATTTATATACATCATATACACATAATGTCATTTTACTGTATTTATTATCGTCTTTATCAATAATGCGCACTCTTCAGCCGGTTTTTGCAATCGCAGCTGTAGTTTCAACTGTGGGAGAACAAGGAAACGCAGAGGAGTGAGAGATCTCACTCTCTGACGATCTTTGGCAGTCCCCGTGTGTTTGTATCTCACAGCTGTTTGTACCTCACGGGTCATGCTTTGGACACGGACTTTCAGACAAACGTAGTCTGTTTCGGAAAGCCCTGATTACGTACTTCACAGAGGAAAAAAAAGTAAGTTGCTACGTTTTACCGTTCGCGAGTAAATTGATCATTTGTAAAACATGTAAAACAAAAGCATATAGGGTTTTAACCACTGCTTCTTATGGTGCAGTAAGATCGAACCTCAGAACACTCTCTGGTATTGTGTGTTTGTTTGACTTTATTTAAATCTGCACCACTTTGAGGTTTCCTGGAAATGTTTAATACAAATATCTTTGTCTACACATTTTATTATAACCCACAGTATTAACCCTAGTGTCCTTTAACAATAGAATCTGTTTTACAGAAGCTTCCCCAGGTTTCTGAGAAGACAGGAAGAGATGAATATAATATTTGCAGAATTCAAAATATGTTTAGTTTTACAGTTTGCAACAGTATTTGTGTGGTTTCCAGATAATCTGATGGACACGTTTTTAAAAACTGAATGTGTTAATTCAGGATCATGTTAAAGTCAATCCTGCCTGAAGGAGATCACTGATGTGTCCACGTGTGAGGAACAACAAAGCCACAAGTTCCATGTTGTGTTTATTGCACAAAGAGACGAGCACAGCCAAACAGATCTTTACATTAACCTTTACATAAACCAGGAGCCACATGGTTTAAAGCGGCCCCTCATGGTCCTACAGCAGGAGAACATTCAGGTCACGAAACAGCAGCACAGACAGACACAGAGGAAAGGTGACGCAGCCTCCAACTATGACCCCGTTTGGTCCCACCCGGTCCCCCTATGGTCCTACCCGGTCCCCCTATGGTCCTACCCGGTCCCCCTATGGTCCTACCCGGTCCCCCTATGGTCCTACCCGGTCCTACCCGGTCCCCGCAAGTCCCACCTGGTCCCTGTAAGTCCCACCTGGTCCCAGTTTGGTCCCACCCGCATGTCAAGAGTGCAATAACATGTTTTTTCTCACAGCTGAAATAAATACTGAATATAGAAATGTGCTTTTGACCAAAATACAGAGCACAATATCAATTAGACTTTTATATATTCTCTAGAATCTGATTCTTTTTCTAGATTTTAAACCAGTGTCAGTTAGCATCAAAATATTTCTTTACGTGTTAAGATTCCATTCTCTTGCGAGCTTCTGCTGATGTGTGAAAGCACGGCGTACAGGAGGTCCACAGGAGGTCCACAGGAGGTCCACAGGAGGTCCCCAGGAGGTCCCCAGGAGGTCCCCAGGAGGTCCACAGGAGGTCCACAGGAGGTCCACAGGAGGTCCCCAGGAGGTCCACAGGAGGTCCACAGGAGGTCCACAGGAGGTCCCCAGGAGGTCCCCAGGAGGTCCCCAGGAGGTCCACAGGAGGTCCACAGGAGGTCCACAGGAGGTCCACAGGAGGTCCACAGATCCTCCCATTACTTCTTGGCCTTCCCCTGAGCCGCCACGGCCTCCATGGCCTTCCGCACGGTCTCCTCGTCTCCCAGGAACTGCATGGGCTTCATGGGTTTGAGGTTCTTGTCCAGCTCGTACAGGATGGGGATCCCGGTGGGCAGGTTGAGCTCCATGATGGCCTCGTCAGACATCCCTGCGACAGAAACATGTCAGATTGTGAGGATGCAGCGGATAAACCTTCCTCCACCTCCAGGATCAACATTCCCTGGTCACTCATGGCATAAAACTATATATTGAAAATCATTCTTTAAAAGGAGCAGTTTGTAAAAATGTGGCCGAAAGTGGTACTGCAGCCTCTCCCACTTTTTTTTGTCAACAACAAATCTATAACCAACACCTTTTTCACAAAGATAGAAATCCTGGTTGTATTCCTTGTTTTGTCGTTAATGATTTGAGAATCATAACGAGACCTTTTTTAGTTCTGCGCCACATGGTACTTTACCAGTGAGATTAGCTCCACGCGGTAAATTCTGGCGCCCGGATCACGGACTTTCTGATTGGTGAAACGGTGGAGGGCGGGACATCGAAATGAAAATAATAACAAGATTTAGGGACTGGAAAAGTAATTTAGAAATTTAGATATCACTGAACTACTGTTATCAGTTAAAGAAGGATTGGAAAAGAACAGTTTATTATTATGACAGATTAGGGCCCTTTAATGATGACAGATTAGGGCCCTTTAATTATGACAGATTAGGGCCCTTTAATGATGACAGATTAGGGCCCTTTAATTATGACAGATTAGGGCCCTTTAATGATGGATCAGTTAAGTCTTTCTCCCTCCCCCTCTCCCCCTCCCCCTCTTTCCCATCCATCTATGTATCTATCTATATGTATAAAGCAGGTATAGTGTAGCAGACCTTCCAGGTGCTTGACGATGCCGCGGAGACTGTTGCCGTGGGCAGCGATCAGGACCCTCTTCCCTTGTTTGATCTGAGGAGCGATGACGTCGTTCCAGAACGGCAGGGCACGGGCGATTGTGTCTTTAAGGCTCTCACAGGAGGGCAGCTGCTCCTCCGACAGCTCCGCGTACCGACGGTCCTGCAGCACACCGGGATATTATTATTATTATTATTATGTATTGAAAATTCATATCCTTTATTGGTCCTACAGTGAAATGTCAGTGTTGCAGTCAGCAGTTACAGAACAGTAGAATGAGGAGCACACAGGACAAGAATCTTGTATACAGGTATGTATACCTGTATGTATACAGGTATACATACAGGTATACATACAGGTATACACTACCTCTGTGATACACTAAAATATGACATATTAAAGCTGGGCTACCCAACTTCCAAACCACAAAGAAACTATGAAATCAAATCCATGAAACTCATTCCAAACACACATCTTTACATCAGATGGAAAAGGGAAAGAGGACCCCCCTGACTCAGCCAATCAGCTCACAGAGGACCCCCCTGACTCAGCCAATCAGCTCACTTTTGTGTGATGCCTCTCTTTGGCATCACACACATGTGAGCTTTGAATAATGATTTTGGAAGTTTATTGTAGAAGCCAAAGCAGAGACGTTACAGTGGAACAGCCCCCACGCACACATCTGTCTCCCTCTAGTGGATGCTTTGAGTAAAGACTACATAAGGTGTGCTACAGCAGGAAGAGGCAGAGGCAGAGACAGAGGCAGAGACAGAGGCAGAGACAGAGACAGAGACAGAGGCAGAGACAGAGGCAGAGGCAGAGACAGAGACAGAGGCAGAGACAGAGACAGAGACAGAGGCAGAGACAGAGGCAGAGACAGAGGCAGAGACAGAGGCAGAGACAGAGGCAGAGACAGAGGCAGAGGCAGAGACAGAGGCAGAGACAGAGGCAGAGGCAGAGACAGAGACAGAGGCAGAGGCAGAGACAGAGACAGAGGCAGAGACAGAGACAGAGGCAGAGACAGAGGCAGAGACAGAGACAGAGGCAGAGACAGAGGCAGAGACAGAGGCAGAGACAGAGGCAGAGGCAGAGGCAGAGGCAGAGACAGAGACAGAGGCAGAGGCAGAGACAGAGACAGAGGCAGAGGCAGAGACAGAGGCAGAGAGAGAGGCAGAGAGAGAGGCAGAGGCAGAGGCAGAGACAGAGGCAGAGAGAGAGGCAGAGACAGAGGCAGAGACAGAGGCAGAGAGAGAGGCAGAGACAGAGGCAGAGACAGAGGCAGAGAGAGAGGCAGAGACAGAGGCAGAGGCAAAGACAGAGGCAGAGACAGAGGCAGAGACAGAGACAGAGGCAGAGGCAGAGGCAGAGGCAGAGGCAGAGACAGAGACAGAGGCAGAGGCAGAGGCAGAGACAGAGACAGAGGCAGAGGCAGAGGCAGAGACAGAGACAGAGGCAGAGGCAGAGGCAGAGACAGAGGCAGAGGCAAAGACAGAGGCAGAGACAGAGGCAGAGACAGAGGCAGAGGCAGAGGCAGAGACAGAGGCAGAGACAGAGACAGAGGCAGAGGCAGAGGCAGAGACAGAGGCAGAGGCAGAGGCAGAGACAGAGACAGAGGCAGAGGCAGAGACAGAGGCAGAGGCAGAGACAGAGGCAGAGGCAGAGACAGAGGCAGAGGCAGAGACAGAGGCAGAGACAGACACAGAGGCAGAGACAAAGACAAAGACAGAGGCAGAGACAGAGACAGACAGACAGAGACAGAGGCAGAGACAGAGGCAGAGACAGAGGCAGAGACAAAGACAGAGGCAGAGACAGAGGCAAAGACAGAGACAGAGACAGAGGCAGAGGCAGAGACAGAGGCAGAGACAGAGGCAGAGACAGAGGCAGAGACAAAGACAAAGACAAAGACAGAGGCAGAGAGACAGAGGCAGAGGCAGAGAGACAGAGACAGAGGCAGAGAGACAGAGGCAGAGACAGAGACAGAGACAGAGACAGAGAGAGACAGAGACAGAGACAGAGGCAGAGGCAGAGACAGAGACAGAGGCAGAGGCAGAGGCAGAGACAGAGGCAGAGACAGAGGCAGAGACAGAGACAGAGGCAGAGACAAAGACAAAGACAGAGGCAGAGAGACAGAGGCAGAGGCAGAGAGACAGAGACAGAGGCAGAGAGACAGAGGCAGAGACAGAGACAGAGACAGAGAGAGACAGAGGCAGAGGCAGAGGCAGAGACAGAGGCAGAGGCAGAGACAGAGGCAGAGAGAGACAGAGACAGAGACAGAGGCAGAGACAGAGGCAGAGACAGAGACAGAGGCAGAGGCAGAGACAGAGGCAGAGGCAGAGACAGAGACAGAGGCAGAGGCAGAGACAAAGACAGAGAGAGACAGAGACAGAGACAGAGGCAGAGGCAGAGAGAGACAGAGACAGAGGCAGAGGCAGAGACAGAGACAGAGAGAGACAGAGACAGAGACAGAGGCAGAGGCAGAGACAGAGACAGAGACAGAGGCAGAGGCAGAGACAGAGACAGAGACAGAGACAGAGACAGAGACAGAGACAGAGGCAGAGGCAGAGGCAGAGGCAGAGACAGAGGCAGAGGCAGAGACAGAGGCAGAGACAGAGGCAGAGGCAGAGGCAGAGACAGAGGCAGACACAGAGGCAGAGACAGAGACAGAGACAGAGACAGAGACAGAGGCAGAGGCAGAGGCAGAGGCAGAGGCAGAGACAGAGGCAGAGACAGAGGCAGAGGCAGAGGCAGAGACAGAGGCAGAGGCAGAGACAGAGGCAGAGACAGACACAGAGGCAGAGACAAAGACAAAGACAGAGGCAGAGACAGAGACAGACAGACAGAGACAGAGGCAGAGACAGAGGCAGAGACAGAGGCAGAGACAAAGACAGAGGCAGAGACAGAGGCAAAGACAGAGACAGAGACAGAGGCAGAGACAGAGGCAGAGACAGAGGCAGAGACAGAGGCAGAGACAAAGACAAAGACAAAGACAGAGGCAGAGAGACAGAGGCAGAGGCAGAGAGACAGAGACAGAGGCAGAGAGACAGAGGCAGAGACAGAGACAGAGACAGAGACAGAGAGAGACAGAGACAGAGGCAGAGGCAGAGACAGAGACAGAGGCAGAGGCAGAGGCAGAGACAGAGGCAGAGACAGAGACAGAGACAGAGACAGAGACAGAGGCAGAGAGACAGAGGCAGAGGCACAGAGACAGAGACAGAGGCAGAGAGACAGAGACAGAGACAGAGACAGAGAGAGACAGAGGCAGAGGCAGAGGCAGAGACAGAGACAGAGACAGAGACAGAGGCAGAGAGAGACAGAGACAGAGACAGAGGCAGAGACAGAGACAGAGACAGAGACAGAGGCAGAGGCAGAGACAGAGGCAGAGGCAGAGACAGAGACAGAGGCAGAGACAGAGACAGAGAGAGACAGAGACAGAGACAGAGGCACAGAGACAGAGACAGAGACAGAGACAGAGGCAGAGACAGAGACAGAGAGAGACAGAGACAGAGACAGAGGCAGAGGCAGAGACAGACAGAGACAGAGACAGACAGAGAGACAGAGACAGAGACAGAGAGAGACAGAGACAGAGACAGAGACAGAGGCAGAGGCAGAGACAGAGACAGAGACAGAGACAGAGGCAGAGGCAGAGGCAGAGGCAGAGGCAGAGACAGAGGCAGAGACAGAGACAGAGGCAGAGGCAGAGACAGAGACAGAGACAGAGGCAGAGGCAGAGACAGAGGCAGAGGCAGAGGCAGAGACAGAGAGAGACAGAGACAGAGGCAGAGACAGACAGAGGCAGAGGCAGAGTCAGAGGCAGAGGCAGAGACAGAGGCAGAGGCAGAGACAGAGGCAGAGACAGAGACAGAGACAGAGACAGAGGCAGAGACAGAGAGAGACAGAGACAGAGGCAGAGACAGAGACAGAGACAGAGGCAGAGGCAGAGGCAGAGGCAGAGGCAGAGGCAGAGACAGAGGCAGAGGCAGAGACAGAGGCAGAGACAAAGACAGAGACAGAGACAGAGGCAGAGGCAGAGGCAGAGACAGAGAGAGACAGAGACAGAGACAGAGGCAGAGGCAGAGGCAGAGGCAGAGGCAGAGACAGAGGCAGAGGCAGAGACAGAGGCAGAGGCAGAGACAAAGACAGAGACAGAGACAGAGGCAGAGGCAGAGACAGAGGCAGAGGCAGAGGCAGAGACAGAGAGAGACAGAGACAGGGGCAGGGGCAGAGACAGAGACAAAGACAAAGACAGAGGCAGAGAGACAGAGGCAGAGGCAGAGGCAGAGGCAGAGGCAGAGGCAGAGACAGAGAGGCAGAGGCAGAGAGGCAGAGGCAGAGGCAGAGGCAGAGGCAGAGGCAGAGACAGAGACAGAGACAGAGACAGAGGCAGAGCAGAGACAGAGACAGAGGCAGAGGCAGAGGCAGAGGCAGAGGCAGAGACAGAGGCAGAGGCAGAGGCAGAGGCAGAGAGAGAGAGACAGAGGCAGAGGCAGAGACAGAGGCAGAGACAGAGACAGAGGCAGAGGCAGAGACAGAGGCAGAGGCAGAGACAGAGGCAGAGACAAAGACAGAGACAGACAGACAGACAGAGACAGAGACAGAGGCAGAGGCAGAGACAGAGGCAGAGACAAAGACAAAGACAGAGGCAGAGAGACAGAGGCAGAGGCAGAGACAGAGACAGAGACAGAGAGAGACAGAGAGACAGAGACAGAGACAGAGAGAGACAGAGACAGAGACAGAGACAGAGACAGAGACAGAGACAGAGACAGAGGCAGAGGCAGAGGCAGAGGCAGAGACAGAGGCAGAGACAGAGGCAGAGACAAAGACAAAGACAGAGGCAGAGACAAAGACAAAGACAGAGGCAGAGACAGAGGCAGAGGCAGAGACAGAGGCAGAGACAGAGACAGAGACAGAGACAGAGAGAGACAGAGACAGAGACAGAGACAGAGACAGAGAGAGACAGAGACAGAGACAGAGACAGAGACAGAGACAGAGGCAGAGACAGAGGCAGAGGCAGAGGCAGAGACAGAGGCAGAGACAGAGGCAGAGACAGAGGCAGAGACAGAGGCAGAGACAAAGACAAAGACAGAGGCAGAGACAGACAGACAGAGGCAGAGACAGAGGCAGAGGCAGAGACAGAGACAGAGGCAGAGACAAAGACAGAGGCAGAGGCAGAGACAGAGACAGACAGAGACAGAGACAGAGGCAGAGGCAGAGACAGAGACAGAGACAGAGGCAGAGGCAGAGGCAGAGGCAGAGACAGAGGCAGAGACAGAGGCAGAGACAGAGACAGAGACAGAGGCAGAGGCAGAGGCAGAGGCAGAGGCAGAGGCAGAGGCAGAGACAGAGGCAGAGGCAGAGACAGAGGCAGAGGCAGAGGCAGAGGCAGAGGCAGAGACAGAGGCAGAGACAGAGGCAGAGACAGAGACAGAGGCAGAGGCAGAGAGAGAGGCAGAGAGAGAGGCAGAGGCAGAGACAAAGACAAAGACAAAGACAGAGGCAGAGACAAAGGCAGAGACAGAGACAGACAGAGGCAGAGGCAGAGACAGAGACAAAGACAAAGACAGAGACAGAGGCAGAGACAGAGGCAGAGACAGAGGCAGGGACAGAGACAGACAGACAGAGGCAGAGACAGAGGCAGAGGCAGAGACAAAGACAGAGACAGAGGCAGAGACAGAGGCAGAGACAGAGACAGACAGACAGAGGCAGAGACAGAGGCAGAGGCAGAGACAAAGACAGAGACAGAGGCAGAGACAGAGGCAGAGACAGAGGCAGAGACAGAGGCAGAGACAGAGGCAGAGACAGAGGCAGAGGCAGAGGCAGAGACAGAGGCAGAGACAGAGGCAGAGAGAAAGACAAAGACAGAGACAGAGGCAGAGACAGAGGCAGAGAGAGAGGCAGAGGCAGAGACAGACACAGAGACAGAGGCAGAGGCAGAGGCAGAGACAGAGGCAGAGACAGAGGCAGAGACAGAGACAGAGACAGAGGCAGAGACAGAGACAGAGGCAGAGGCAGAGACAAAGACAAAGACAGAGGCAGAGACAAAGACAAAGACAGAGGCAGAGACAGAGACAGAGGCAGAGGCAGAGACAGAGGCAGAGACAAAGACAGAGACAGAGACAGACAGACAGACAGAGACAGAGACAGAGGCAGAGAGACAGAGGCAGAGGCAGAGACAGAGGCAGAGACAGAGACAGAGACAGAGGCAGAGAGACAGAGGCAGAGGCAGAGGCAGAGACAGAGACAGAGAGAGACAGAGACAGAGACAGAGACAGAGACAGAGACAGAGACAGAGACAGAGACAGAGGCAGAGACAGAGGCAGAGGCAGAGGCAGAGACAGAGGCAGAGACAGAGGCAGAGACAGAGACAGAGACAGAGGCAGAGGCAGAGACAGAGACAGAGGCAGAGGCAGAGACAGAGACAGAGGCAGAGGCAGAGGCAGAGACAGAGACAGAGACAGAGACAGAGGCAGAGACAGAGACAGAGACAGAGACAGAGACAGAGACAGAGAGAGACAGAGACAGAGACAGAGACAGAGACAGAGACAGAGACAGAGGCAGAGACAGAGGCAGAGGCAGAGGCAGAGGCAGAGACAGAGACAGAGACAGAGACAGAGACAGAGGCAGAGACAGAGTCAGAGACAGAGGCAGAGACAAAGACAGAGACAGAGGCAGAGACAGAGGCAGAGGCAGAGGCAGAGGCAGAGGCAGAGACAGAGACAGAGACAGAGAGAGACAGAGACAGAGACAGAGACAGAGAGAGACAGAGACAGAGACAGAGACAGAGACAGAGACAGAGGCAGAGACAGAGACACAGAGGCAGAGGCAGAGCAGAGACAGAGACAGAGACAGAGACAAAGACAGAGGCAGAGACAGAGACAGAGACAGAGGCAGAGGCAGAGACAGAGACAGAGGCAGAGGCAGAGACAGAGGCAGAGGCAGAGACAGAGACAGAGACAGAGGCAGAGCAGAGGCAGAGACAGAGGCAGAGACAGAGGCAGAGGCAGAGGCAGAGACAGAGGCAGAGACAGAGGCAGAGACAGAGGCAGAGGCAGAGCAGAGGCAGAGGCAGAGGCAGAGGCAGAGACAGAGGCAGAGCAGAGACAGAGGCAGAGACAGAGACAGAGACAGAGACAGAGGCAGAGACAGAGGCAGACAGAGGCAGAGACAGAGACAGAGACAGAGACAGAGCAGAGACAGAGGCAGAGACAGAGGACAGAGGCAGAGACAGAGGCAGAGGCAGAGACAGAGACAGAGGCAGAGGACAGAGCAGAGGCAGAGGCAGAGACAGAGGCAGAGCAGAGAGAGAGAGAGAGGAGAGAGAGGAGAGAGAGGAGAGGAGGGGAGAGAGGGGAGAGGAGGAGAAGAAGAGAGGAGAGAGAAGAGAGAGAGGAGAGAGAGAGAGAGGAAGAGAGGAGAGAGAGGAGAGAGAGGAAGAGAGAGAGAGAGAGGGATGAGGAAAGAGGAAGAGAAGAGAGAGCTAGAGAAGAGAGAGCGAGAGAGTTGCGTCTCTCTGCTCTAGCGGGCGCGCGGGCGCGCGGGGCGACGCGTCTCCTCGCTTCTCGCCGCAGGCCTCTCCTCGTCTCGCTCCTAGCGTGTCCGCCCTCGCTCCGCGCGTCCGTCCGCGCGCGCTTCTCATCTTCCTCGCTCTCGCTCGTCTCTGCCGCTCTCTCGTCGCTCCGCGGAGCGCCTGCGCTCGGCGCGCTCTGCCGCTCGCGCGACCGCGCTGCTCTCGCGCGCTCTAGCGCTGCTCAGCGGCGTCTCCTTGCGCTCGCTCGATCTGCTCTCTCCTCGCTATCTCTCCGCTCGCGCTTCTCGCGCTTGCCTCTCCGGCCTCTCTTCTGACTCTCTCTCTCCCGCTAGCGTCTCGCTCGTGCTCGCTTCTTCGCGCTTCGCCTCGCTCTCTCCTCCCTCCTCCTCTCCGCTCCCTACTGCTCTCGTGCTGCCTCTCTTCCGGTCGTCCTGCTCTCGCTCTCTCTCCTCTCTCGCCCTGCGCGCTCCGCGCTCCTCCTCTTCTCGCATCGCTCCTGCTCTCGGCTCCGCGTCGTCTCGCCGCCGCTGCCTCCCTCCCGCTCGCGCGCTCCTCCTCTCCTCCTCTCCTCTCTCTCTCCTCTACCCCTCTCTCCTCTCCCTCCTCCCTCCGTCCCTCCCTCTCTCCCTCTCGCTCCGCTCCCCTCTCCTCGCCCCTCCTCTCTCACCTCTCTCCTCCGTCTCGCCTCGCTCTCGCACCCTCGCTCTCCTCCGCCCTCCTCGCCCCCTCGCCCTCTCCTCTCCTCTCGCTCGCTCCTCTCCCCTTCTCTCCCTCGGCTCCTCCCTCTCTCTCTCTCGTCTCCGCCTCTCTCCTCTCCTGCCTCTCTCCTCCGCCTCTCTCTCTCCTCTCACATCCTCGTCCTACTCTCATCCTCCTCTCTCCTCTCTCATCGCTCTCTCTCTTCTCTCTCCTCTCTCACCGTCGCTCTTCTCCTCTCCTCATCCTCTCCTCTCGCCTCATCTCTCGCTCCTCTCTCATCTTCTCTTCTCGCTCTCTCTCTCTCTCCTCTCTCCTCCTCTCTCGCTCCTCTCTCCTCCTCGTCTCATCCTCTCTCCTCCACGCCTCTCCTCTCGCTCTCACTCCTCTCCTCTCCTCCTCTCTCCTCCTCTCTCCTCCTTCTCTCTCGCTCTCTCTCCCCTCGCTCCTCTCCCTCCCCCTCTCTCTCCTCTCTCTCGCATCTCTCTCCCTCTCTCCTCTCTCTCCCCATCTCACCCACTCGCTCTCCCTCGCTCTCTCCTCTCTCTCTCTCCTCTCCTCTCTCCTCCTCTCCTCTCTCGTCTCCTCTCCCTCGCTCCTCTCTCCTCTCCTCTCTTCTCTCCCTCTCTCTCTCTCTCCTCTCCTCTCTCTCCTCTCCCTCTCGCTCTCCTCTCTCCTCCTCTCTCGTCCTCTCTCCTCTCCTCTCTCTCCGCGCTCCTCTCTCTCCGCTCCCTCCTCTCCTCTCTCTCTCCTCTCTCTCTCCTCCTCTCTCCTCTCTCCTCCTCTCCCTCTCTCACTCCTTCCTCTCCTCCTCCTCTCCTCTCCTCTCTCCTCTCTCCCTCTCTCTCCTCTCCTCCTCTCCGCTCCCTCTCTCCTCTCCGCCTCTCTCCTCTCTCCCTCCTCCTCTCCTCTCCGCTCTCCTCTCTCTCCTCTCTCCTCTCTCTCTCCTCTCTCTCCTCTCTCTCCTCCTCTCCTCTCCTCTCTCTCCTCCTCTCCTCTCTCCTCTCCTCCTCATCCTCTCTCGCTCTCCTCTCCTCCTCTCCTCCTCTCCCCTCCTCTCCTCTCGTCTCCTCTCCTCTCCTCCTCTCCTCTCTCCTCTCCCCTCCTCTCTCACTCCTCTCTCCTCCTCTCTCTCTCTCCTCTCCTCTCCTCTCTCCTCTCCTCTCTCCCTCTCTCCTCCTCGCTCTCTCTCTCCTCTCCTCCTCACTCTCTCCTCTCCTCTCTCCTCTCTCTCCTCTCTCCTCTCCTCTCTCCTCTCTCTCCTCTCCTCTCTCCTCTCCTCTCTCCCTCTCTCTCTCCTCTCTCTCTCCTCCTCCTCTCCTCTCTCTCTCTCCTCCTCTCTCTCCTCACTCTCTCCTCCTTCTCTCTCCTCTCTCTCCTCTCCTCTCTCTCTCTCTCGTCCTACTCTCTCATCCTCCTCTCTCTCTCTCTCTCTCTCTCCTCTCCCTCCTCTCTCCCCTCTCTCTCTCCTCTCTCTCCTCTCTCTCCTCTCTCTCATCCTCTCTCCCCCTCTCTCCTCCTCTCTCTCTCTCTCTCCTCCCTCTCTCCTCTCTCTCCCTCTCCTCTCTCCTCCTCTCCTCTCCCCTCTCCTCTCTCTCCTCCTCTCTCTCTCCTCTCCTCTCTCTCCTCTCCTCTCTCTCCTCTCTCTCTTCGCTCTCCCTCTCTCTCCTCTCTCCTCTCTCCCCTCTCTCTCCTCTCCCTCCTCTCTCTCCGCTCTCTCCCCTCTCTCCTCTCTCCCCTCTCTCCCTCTCCTCTCTCTCCTCTCTCTCCTCCTCTCCTCTCTCTCCTCTCCTCCCTCCTCTCCTCTCTCTACTCCTCTCTCTCCCTCTCTCCTCTCTCCCCTCTCTCCTCCTCTCTCTCCTCCTCTCTCTCCTCTCTCTCTCCTCTCTCTCCTCCCTCTCCCCTCTCTCCCCTCTCTCATCCTCTCTCCTCTCCCTCCCACTCTCTCTCTCCTCCTCTCCTCTCTCTCCTCTCCTCCTCTCCTCTCTCTCTCTCTCCCTCTCTCTCTCCTCTCCTCTCCTCTCTCTCCTCTCCTATCCTCTCTCTCCCTCTCTCCTCTCTCCTCCTCTCCTCCTCTCTCCTCTCTCTCCTCTCTCCTCTCTCTCCCTCACTCTCCCTCTCTCTCCTCCTCTCCTCTCTCTCCCTCTCTCTCCTCTCTCCCCTCCTCTCCTCCTCTCTCTCCCTCTCTCTCCTCTCTCTCCTCTCTCGCCTCCTCTCTCTCTCTCTGCCCTCTCCTCTCCTACTCTCTCGTCCTCTCATCTCTCCTCTCTCCCCTCTCTCACCTCTCACTCCT